GCCGGCACCGCTCTCCACACTCCGGCTGCATGACGGCGTGGGAGCGCTGTCGGCGGCAGGGGCCGTGGGCCAGACCCCATGGGGACAAGACTTATTTTAATCCCCCGAACGTGCCCGTCCCACCCAGCCACCCGTTCCCAAGCGCGGCCAGGGGAAGCCCTTACCCTGCAGGACACGAAGGACGTCTCCGTGCACGGACACCGGCACCACGGGGGAGGGCAGGTCCTGCAGGTAGCCTCGCAGCGCCTCGCCCAGGGAGTGCACGTCGAAGGGCTCCAGGTCGCCCAGGGTCCAATCTGCCAGGGCACAGATTTCCCATGGGTGGTGGGCGCAGCACCAAGCACCCAGCCGGCAGCTCCGGTGCTGCCAGCACCTGTCCCAAACCCCATCACACACTGCCTGGCCAGCTATCAGGGGACACAGCAGCCTGGCACCAGGAGGGAGCTCAAGCAGCCCTCGGCACACAGCGGAGGATGCTTGGAAGTGCCCCCTGCACCCCAGGAATAAGCTGGCTCTGGGAACCCAGGCAGTTCCCCCTGGGAAGGGGCAGAGGTCACTTTGGGTGCCCAAACCCTTTGCCCTGAGCCTTGCCACAGGAATCCTGGGCACGCACGACTCTGGTGAGAGTTTTGTTCCCTGCTGCTGGCAGAGACGAGCGCGGAGAGGCAACGAGCCCACCAGCCACACGCCGAACCCAACGGGGAAAGCATCTCCCTCGAACTGTGCCGTCCCACGAACGCGGGCACATAAAGCCTGTCCCAAAAGGGGATGATTTTCCTGATTTTCATGATTCTATGAAAAGCAACGCAGCCAGAGCTGACAGCACCACGTAGCCGGGGTTTGCAAGAATGTCTGTGGCAGGGGACAAGCCAGCGCGGTGCTGGATGAGGCCCAAGCCCAGCCGAGAGGCAGACAGCTCCGAAGGCTCCCCGGCAGAGACATCAGCCGCCGGCATGGCGGAGCCAAGGCTCCAGCCACCAAGCTGAGCTGAAAGATCCTCCCCTGCTTATTAGTGGTGTGACAGCGCCAGAGAAGCCTCCCCCTCCGCCAGCCCATCGGCAGAGCACCCCGAGAGCGGGGCGCCCCGAAGAGCCAGAGGCAAGCACAGGGGTTCCCTCGTTGACCGGCGAGTTTCCAGGCCAGCGCCACGTCCAAGGACGGCGGCAGGAACCCTCCCCTCTCCTGTCCCTTCCATGGGAGAGGGGGACGTGTGGGGACAGGGACGGCCCAGCCCCACAGGCAGCGTGCTGGGAGCCGGGAACTGCCGGGGACAGGCGAGCCCGGCCTGGATTGCATTACTGCTGGCGCTGTCGCATCCACTAATCTCCTCCATCTGAGCCGATGCGCCTCCTCGCCGCGCGGAGCTGGTTCTTACCGGTTCTCAGCGCTTGCCTCAGTTCGGAGCCAGATGTCCTGTACAACATCTCGCTGTCTAACCCTGCGGAAGCGAGGACGCCGCTGTTAGCTGCGAGCTGCGCAGATCCCAGCGCATGCACCGTT